TGAACATTTTATTCCAGCTTAATATTTTTCCAGTGAATGGTTTGTTGGTTAGTTGGTTAGTTTATTTAGGATCTATGCAGATGTCCTTTGTCAAACCTATTTGTTTATTATGGTAATCAGATCTGTTTTAAACTAGCTAATAAAGTGATCAATAGAGAAAAAGGTGAGTAAGTATAACATTACAGTTTGGCTGTTTAAAAAATAATATTTTAAAAATTATTTATTAAAATGTTATTTCAATATTTGAGAATTACGCTTTCTGAATTATGTTTCCTTATAAACAATATGATATAGATAAAATATATAGGTTTCAAATTATTCTTTGTCCAATTAAATTGTATCAAATATGCCTCTTTAACATAATTTTCTTAGAGGATTGAGAATAAAAGCTGTTATATTGGTAAAATACATACATTGGGCTTCTGCCCCTAAAGAGAATGTATCTCTAATTAATTAAGGCATTGTGAAGGAAAAATAATGTTAAGTGAATGTCATTTTTTTCTATTAATGGCTGAATGCCCAGAATGATTCATATTTTAGCCCATGACATCACCCATATTTAAGCGCTCAGACAGACAAACAGAAAAACAGCAGGATAAAATGAAAAGGGCAGTAAATGTAATTCAAAAGGATACCAGTCTTTAATTCAAACTTTGAGTCCTGAATTCTTCAGTTTTGATTCAGAAGTTCACTGTAACTTTAGTGACAATTTGAATACAGTCTTGGATTTCATTTTTGTCAGACGTTATGCTTTGTGGGAAGTACTTGCTTCCATCTTCAGAATATTTGAAGAAAGTTAATTCTGAGAAGGGATTCTGAGAAGGGAGACGCTTCAATGCTCTGGGTTCTCTCCCTCTGATTCCAATGTATCTACCTTTCCCGTACTTCGCAGCAGCAGGGATCCTCCGAGAAGACACATGGGAATGAAGAAGAATTTAGGCCCCTTGAGTCTTGGTGCAGGATATGACTTTACCTACACCAGTCGTAGGAGCTCTGGTGGCATAGTAGTTATGCCTTGGGCTGCTAACTACAAGGTCAGCAGTTCTAAACCACCGGCTGCTCTGTGGGAGAAAAACAAGACTTTCTAATCCTGTTAATAGTTACCCTAGCCAATAGGGCCGGTATGAGTCGGTGTGAACTCAATGGCAGTGAGTGAGTTTATACCAATGGAGGAGAGTTCTGGGAGCATTGTCATATATGCATTGGACTGCTAGCCTCATTGTCAGCAGTCACCCCATCAGCCACTCCTAGGGGGTAAAATAAAGCTGTCTATTTCTGTAATGATTGACAACCTCGGAAATGCTACATAGGTTTCTATGAGTAGAGATTGATGGACTTGAGTTTGGTTTTTCGGTACCAGTTGATCACCTGACCGTGTATATAGGACAAGTTCTAGATGAGGGTAAATATTCAGCATATCTTAGAGCAGTGGTTCTCAACCTTCCTAATGCCCTGACCCTTTAATACAAGTCCTCATGTTGTGGTGACCCCCAACCATAAACTTACTTTTGTTGCTACTTTATCACTGTAATTTTGCTACTGTTATAAATGGGGCGACCCCTGTGAAAGGGTTGTTCAACCCCCAAAGGGGTCGCGACCCCCAGGTTGAGAACAGCTGTCCATGAAAAAAACTAGTCTACAAAAATCAGTCAACCATTCTAATGGAATTCCCAAAACTGGTCCTTAACTACCATTTATGTATAAAATGAACCCCATCACTCAAGAAAATAGGCCAATAATGGAGGAACAATGAAACTATTGAGGTATTCGAATTAGAATAATCAACCATTTGAGATCAAGAGGCAGCATTTACCACCCAAGGACAACGTTCTGAATGCTTATGAAAGGAAGAAAAATACAAACAGTAAACACAGAGAGGAAGGAAGACAGGTACAATGAGAGGATTGCAATAAATGAACATAGAGAGAGATTGCTGAACAGGAAACTGGTCTGCGCTAAAGCTTCACCCAATTCACAACAAAAAAGCAAAGTGTATACAGTAGGAAAAAATCTATCCCCCTCTCAAATTGTCATAAAAATTTGAAAAATTCTTGGGTAATATTGAAATATTAATTAAAATCCCCAAAGGACATTTAAGGAGTCATAATTGCAATTATTTAAAAATTTGTAAAATGATATATGAGCTTTGCAGATAAGTAAAAATAGATCCTTGAGACTAAGCAGAACAAATGTGAAGAAAGTGACTAAGGGGATCGGCTAGGGGCTGGAAGTGGTGTGACTTACTCAATTTTACGGTCAACTCTAAAACCACGGTAATGGGAACAATATAATATTAAGTCAGGAACACGTAAATAGATCAATAGAACACAATGAGTCCTTCACCTGAACTGAGAACACTGAGAATGTTTGGAGTGGCTGTGTTCTTGATTGTCCCAAAGATAATACAGCGTTAGTAACATTCTGTGTGTTCTAGATGGGGAGGAGATGAGTTGCTTCACTGTATAAAGTGTGTGTCAGCTGTAGGCATTCTCTTTACAGAAGCCATGTTGAGAAAGACCAGAGAAAGCATGACACATGTGACACTTATCCTCAGGAGTAAAGGGTGCTTCCAGGTATTTAGAAATAGTACAGCCAGGATTAGCTGTTCATATGGAAGAACACCAATTCGAGCCCTTATGTACCAATGTATGGAATAACTTTAGATTTACTCCATTTATAAGATGTGATGTAAAAAAAGTGAAAATGAAAATCTTGTGATTCAGTTTTTAGAATAAATGTATTGGGAAAAGTTTCTTAAATAGATCAGGAGACTCAGAAATACTAAATGACAAAATAACCATCAAGATTCAAATTTTTGAAAGCATGCTGCAAAGAAAAGTTGATAACATGATTCTATTTAATAAACAAAAGATCTCCCGTATGTGAGTTCTTGATACATTCGAGTAAGTTCACCCTTGTTTTCAGGTTTCTTTTAGCGTCTATGTAACGCTTTCCCAAATGAACTCTCTGCCTCAGCCTCCAAAAGTGGATGCCATTCATTTTGGGTGGAATGGTCAACGTAGAAAGCTGCTGTTACAGCTCCCCTATTCCCTTCATCACCTTGTGCTTGGCTGTCCCCCATTCACTGTTCTCCAGGGATTGCTCTGCGTCTGCACAGGCTCGGAGGCCTTTTTGATAAGTGGAGGGGGAAATGAGAATTGAATATTTTTATCTTCTTGGGTTTGCTTGCGACAGTTTGGTTTCCACCAGAAAGTACATTGACATTCCAACTAGTAGGGTCTTCCGATCCCAAACCTTCCTTTTATGATGTGACTGTAAAGTGTATGCTTCATTGACTTTGGAGGGTAAAAGCATAAAACGAATCTAAGCTAGGAGAGCGTGATAGATACATGAAACTAGGAAGACTCCCGCACCTGTGACTCTCGATGGGAAAAGTTACTCATCATTGGTTTAGGCTTTCCTCCAATCATGATGGGGGCCTTTGGCGCACGGTGTGTTTTCTGATATACTCTTGCGTAGAACAAGAGCACTCTCACGTACGGAGAAAGCACAGCTGGACGAATGATAAGGCGTGTCTTTTCATAAACTCTGTTCGCTCATCTTTGGAAAACCTTTGCTCTTCATATTTCCCTCTCTCTCTCTCTCTCTCTCTTTGTTTCTTTCTTTAACACAGGACTTCAATCTAACACACACACACACACACACACGTGTACACACACAAAATAGCATCGAGTCAATTGCAACTCCACAGCAACTCCATATGACAGAGCAGACCTGCCCCTTCGGGTTTCCAAGACTAAATCATTACAGGAAGAGCCAGCCTCATCTTTCTCCCACAAAGTCTCCTTAACTATATTGTAATTGGTTAAAACAAAATATTTAGAGTGGCATATATATTTATACATACATATTTAAACTTCTAGAATATCTTCAAGCACTAGCATGAGTACTAGACAAGGAATGGTTTAAGTATTTAACCCTCCCATCAGATATAAAGCATTTTATAAGATGAGTCTTAAAGTTACAACAGCATATCTAGTTCAAAACATCTCATATTGTAACTAATAGTACAAACAGTATGAGATATTGTTACGTTGAAAGATTCCAAAGATCACTATATCCCATTAAACCCTCTCATTTTAAGGTTCCTGAGAAGAATCAAAAGAAAAAGAATTGCAATTCTTGATTTCAAAAACACAAAACTGGAGACCTGTATTTGAAAGTTGTTCTACTTGAAGGTACTCAGAGAACTCTTAAATTAGCAACTTATCTTTCGGACTTATATTTTAAGCACCTTACACAAGTTTTTTAAATGACTAGTGAATCATTTTTTCCACACTAAGCATTGATTTTTTTAAAAACATTTTTTTTTGGGAATAGACAAACATTATTTAGGGAGTTAACAATACTTAAGCACTGATCTTCATATTAAAAGAAAAATATTAAGGAAATTAAAGCTGAAGTAATAATGTAAAAGAAAAACTGATAGTAGACCAAATTAACCAATGAGTTCTTTAATTTGAAGGGGAACCACACACACATTCCTATGTATGCAGGCACCTAATTGCATATCATTTTCCTTTGTCAGTTGAATTTCCTAGAGAATTTATTCATCTTTAAAGATTGATAAGTAAGGATTAAGAAGTGACATTAGTAAATATTAACAGAAACAAGCAGAGGAACATTAATGCAATGCCTTGGGGATACAAACTCTTACTGTGCTAGGCTACTAACCAAAGGGATAGACATTTGATTCCACCCAGTGGTACCTCAGAAGGAAGGCTGGTGACCTGGGCCTGAAAGTTCAGCCATTGAAAGCCTGGTAGAGCCCAGCTCTACTGTGGACACACAGATACTCATGATTTGGAGCATCTTAGCAGCGGGTAATTGTTTCGTTTGTTTGTTAATACAATGGTTTTAATTTAGGTAAGGCTTGAAGGGAATTAAAATTACTCAAAACACTAATTTCAGAAATTAAAACACTTGTTTTCATAACCTCTCTCTATTTTTTTTCCTTTAAAAACAATGTTTGTCAACAGGCCATATACCCCTTTGAAAGGAGGACTCTCCAATGTGTGGTTCGACAGATTTAAAATATCCAATGACTGCCCCGAACACCTAGACTCCATTGATGCAACGTGTCATATGCTCACAGAGTTGATTGACGATGAAGTAAAAAGTGGCATCAGTAAAAACAGGATACTGGTAGGTAAGAGAATTAAATGTTGGTCATTTTTTCTTCATTTTAATTTTGTTTTTCCTTCCGTGTAGTCGGTACCGTAGACTTTACTGGAGAGACAGGATACAGAAGATTATCAGTAGTAATTGTGGGATTCATGATTTCCTTCTGCCTGACTCAGTTACTGTTCTCGATTTTTCCTCTGCGGGCTAATACCCTTTGCAATGAATGCATAGAAGTCACACTCACAAAATACTTGATTGAAGGGTTTACTACAAAGTTTACAGGTTGTGAGCGAGTGCCGGTGAGGAATGCTCAGAGTTGTTCATGAGGACATGTTACTAAGTTCTGATTAGTCAGCTAATTAATGCCCAAAGGGCACCCCCTTTGCTATAGGTCTCAACCCAAAGGCATTCAGCTTATGCGCACACCCAGCTCCCTGAATAAGTGCCCAGAGGCACCTTGCTCCCCAAGCCAGCCTCTGGCACAACAACACTCAGCCAGCTTTACCTGCTCTTTGGTTGGGCGTCCATTATGTTGTTCCAGGCCCTGGCTCCTGGCTCTGCTGCCACCCTGCTGATGTTCTAGCTGCCATCTGGATCCAGGAGGCTCACTGTGCAGGAATGTTGGGTCCAGAGGACACACTACGCTCCTGGCTCTTGTTGGGAATGGGATATCTCCGACTGCTTCTAAGTGGGCGCATTTTATGCACAACAGGATGGCACCGCAGTCTCCTAGTCACAATTGCTCCACATGAATCCCATCAGTATCTTCCCATGCCTTCTTACCAGACCAATGCTGGGAGAGCTAATTTGGTGGGAGTTAGAGACTGACTAGAAGAGTCACGTGAAACAATTCACTGCTGCTGCACAGATTATCTTTACATATTGAGCATTTCTGAACTATTATAATTACAAACTCTTCATGAAACCTTAACTGTTTTCCTTGTTGAATAAGAATACATTTGGAGAATTTCATGGTAAACTTTTTATTTCTAGCTTAGTTTTAATTAGGAGATTATGAATTTAAATTTTTAACATTTTAATTCATTATGGACAGAGTTTAGGTGAATTAGTAAGTTTCTTTTGTGTGGTTCCTTATTGGGCTACCATTCACAAGGTCAGCAGTTCAAAACCACCAGCCGCTCCTCAAGAGAGACTGGGCTTCTACTTTGTCCTAAAGCTACACTTGATGGCAGTGAGTTTATTTTTTGTTGTGTGTGTGGTTTTTGTTTGTTTGTTTATTGAAGCAGTGACCTTTCATTGAGTTAGGATAGCTATTTCTATGGGGCAACAGATAGACTCCTTTATTTCCTATCCAGCCTACAAGTCCATTATTGTTAGTTAAAGGCAATGTGACCTTCAGTGCAGTAACATTATCTTTTCTGGGCTTCCGTTTCCTATCTGTACTTAGCCCTAGCTATATTTTTCTTTTTCTGTGTATCATTGGTGAACTTGTTTATGTTTGGGGTCTCTGTTTAACTATAATAAGAGTAAAACACGGGGTATTATGAGTAGGAGAGTATAGAAAATGGCACCTAACTCACTCTAGGGCAATGGCTCTCAACCTGTGGGTCATGACCTCTTTGGAGGTCAAATGACCCTTAAATAGGAGTCACCTAATATATCCTGCATATCAGATAGTTACATTATGGCTCATAACAGTAGCAAAGTTACAGTTATGAAGTAGCAATGAAAATAATTTTATGGTTGGGGGTCACCACCACATGAGGAACTGTATTAAAGAGTTGCGACATGAGAACCACTGCTCTAGATGATAATGAAACAGTTCCAAAGAGACTGACCTGTCTCTGAGAAGGTTATTGACTATAGAATGTAAAATCTGTGGCTGTATCAGAGACTTTATCTTGCACTCGTTGAGTAATTTTTTTCAAGTTCCCACTGTGTGTCTAACAATATGTTAAATGTTTGAGGAAGCATGCAGGCCAAGAGCAAACCAAGTTAATGGCAACTCATAGTGATCCTGTAGGGCACAGTAGAACCACCCTTCTTTATTGGAGTAGAAGCCTCATTTTTCTCCTGTGGAGCAACGAGTGGTTTCAAACTGGTGACCTTGCGGTTAGCAGCCCAACACATAACTCACTATGCCAGCAGGACTCCTCTGCAGGTAAAGGAAGAATCTAGCTCACAAATTACAACCTGGATGGGCATATGATGTACTTACAATAAAAAGGGGAATGTCAGCCAGCCCTAAAGTGAGTGCTAAAGTGGTGTAACTAACAGCTGAAAGAAAGCTGTTATTTGTATATTAAATGAATATATAAATCATGTGTTTTCCTTTTTTTCATCTATGTTATTGTGTAGAGCAGTTTTAGGTTTACAAAAAAATTTCTCAGAAAGTAGATTTCATACACACCCCACTCCCCAAGTCACATATAGTTTTTTTTTTTTTACATGTTACCATAATGTGGTACATACATTGTTATTTTGGCATGAATATCGATGCATTATTATTAACTAAATCTAGACCTTACGTCAACATCCCATCCCTGTGTTGTATAGTTTTCTGTGCTTCGATGAATGCCTCATGCCATGGGTCCACCATTACATGATACATACTCATCTCACTATCCTAAAAGTGCCCTGCGCCCCACCTATTCATCTTTCCCCCTTCCTCTTAACCCCCTTTCCAGTCCCTGACATTTTCATTGTCTCTGTAGTGTCGCTTCTTTCCAGAATGGCATGTCATTGGAGTCATAGAGCATGTAAGCTTTCCACTTTGACTTCGTTCACTTAATAATGCATTTAAATTTCTTTCATTGCTCATTACTTTTTCATCACGGAAACATTCTGCAGTGAGTATACCACAATGTGTTTATCCATTCACCTAATGAAAAATATCTTGGTTGTTTATACTTTTTGATAACTGAAAAAATTGCTATAAACATTCATGTGTAGCTATTTCAACTCATTCGCATAAATACTTATGAGTACAATTGTTGTGTGCTAATTAAGACCCTAGCAGACTACCTTTCAACATGACTGTACCATTTTCATTTGCATCAGCAATGAATGAGAGTTCCTGTTGCTCTGTATATAATTTTATTTTCCAGGATACATCCCAATGCCTGTAATGGAAAGTTTATAATGACAGGTATGCCCTGATCAATGACTTAATGCATTAAGTAATAAGGCGCCATAAGAATTCAGACAACAGAGAGGTCATAGCCTTTTTGGCTTTTTAGCAACAGTTTGTCGTAAAGTGACTGTGGAATTTGAGATGCACAATTTTTCTAAATGTTAACTATCATAGTGTAGAGACATTGCCCTAAGGAATTAATGGAAACAGTAATTTAGAAGTACAAAACAAAACAAATAGTGCTAGTTGTTTTTCTTTGGATATCCCATGTCTCTGGTAGAAAGCTTGTTGTCTGAAAAATGCCTTGTTGACTATGCTACCCAAACTGAGAGATGGAAGAGCCTGATGATACACTCACAAAAATGGGCTCAAGATAGACCTATCCCTTGCTACCTGGCCGCTACTTAGTTGTTCACACTAATAATTTGCTCTCTCTAAAGTGAGAATGATAATATAATACCTAAATTATTGGGAGATGATGCTTGTAAAATCTAGACTCATTCTAGACACTCACTACATATTCTTTTGAAGACCTTCTTTATCCTTTATTCAATAGATTGCTGGTCTGGAATTACTAGAGGATGTCTGAGTCAAATAACTAATTAAAACCATGCTGTAGGGAAATTTATATGGAAAATAGTCGCGTAAAGGGATGAGAAGCTAGACATGGAGAAACCCGTTATTTAGTGTATGGTAACAAGGGTAATGAGGCCCTGCACTGTGATGGCAGTGGGAGCAGATCCCCAGACAGAACTTTCTTAAGTTACATATTATCAAATTCCTCTTGCAAAAAATAGTTTGCCAATTGATACTTTTACCTGGTATATTGGAATGCCCATTTTACTACATTCTCATTGAAGAATATAATCTTACATTTTTTGATAAAAAAATCCATAAAAAGTAGATAGCAACATAGCTACACAGGACCAATGTGCTGTCGCATGTAGACTCAGAGAGAGCTCAATTTTTCTTTTCTACCGACTACTTATTCTTTCTTTATTTTTCTTCTTGGTGTTGTTCCTGGTAGGCTGCCTCTTTGGTACTGTTCATAGGTTTTTATTTAAGTAGAAGTCTAAATAATTCTTTTAAGTTACCACTTAATAATTTTCTACTAGTTTTTATGGTTTTGTACAATGTTTTTTTATTTTTTTAAATCATTTTATTGGGGGGCTCTTACAGCTCTTCTAACAATCCATACATCAATTGTATCAAGGATATTTGTACATAGGTTGCCGTCATTTTCTACACATGTACTTTCTCTTTTTTTAAAAATTGTTTTATTGGGGGCTTGTACAATTCTTATCACAATCCATATATACATCCATGTGTCAAGCACATATGTACATTTGTTGCCCTCATCATTCTCAAAACATTTGCCTTCTACTTTAGCCCTTAATATCAGTTACTCATTTTCCCCCTCCTTCCCCACTTCCCCCTCTCACATGAACCTTTCATAATTCATAAATTATTATTGTTTTGTCATAAGTTACACTGTCCAACGCCACCACCCCCCCTCCATCTTCTCTGCCGTCCATGCTCCAGGGAGGAGGCTATACGTAGATTCTTATAATCTGTTCCCCTTTTCTACCCCACATTCCCTTCACCCTCCCAGTATCCCACTCTCACCATCTGTCCTGGATTCCTTGTGTTTCCAGTTACCATATATACCAATGTACATCCTCTGATCTAGCCAGATTTTCAAGGTAGAATTGAGATCCTGATAGTGGGTGAGGAGGGAGCATTTAAGAACTAGAGGAAAGTTGTATTTTTCATCATTGCTATATTGAACCCTGACTGGCTTGTCTCCTTCCCGAGATCCCTCTGCAAGGGGATCTCCAGTGGCCTATAAATGGGCTTTGGGTCTCCACTCCACACTCCCCCCCCTCATTCACTATGATGATTTTTTTAAGAACTCTGTTTTAAACAAGTTCTTCAATATAATATGTTATATAACATCAGAAATCAAAGTGGAAATCGATATATCCTTTGATACTTTTGTGCTTAGGAAGTATACTTAGTAGTAATTCTATTAATCAACATTTATATTATACTTCATGGTTATTAAATTGATATGTATATAATATAGTATTTATGTAGTTATGGAGTTGTTATGAGTTGGCATTGACTTGATGATATTGAGTTTGCCTTTTTGGGGGCAGTTAATATTTATATTTAAATTTGTAAATTTATATTACTGAAAACTCACTGCCATTTAGTGAATTCTGATTCTGAGCAATCCTATAAGACAGGGTAGAACTGCCCTTATGGGTTTCTGATACTATAATGATTTATATAAGTTGTTTTCATATGTAATATTTTATGAACTTTGAAATAGAAAAATAGGAATTGTTAGTCTCATTTCAAAGATGATAAAACTGTAATATAGAGTTTATTAATTAATCTATAATAGAGTTAGGACTAGAATCCAAGCCTTATCTCTTTTTTTTTTTTTTTGGCCACTAGGTGGTGATAATTTGTTAAGAGAAAATATTGAATATAATCTATGTTTAACTTGATCTAGAATGTATAGAACCCAACAAAATATATGAACAATTTTGAGAATGTTGATACAATGAAAAGAATATCAGAATTTCTAAGTCAGGACACTCACAAGCTTCCTGAATTATATTTAGTAACTTACATTGATGACCTAAACATCTGTCATGAAGGTGATGGTTAAGTGAATTATGGCCCATTGATAAAATTGAATATTATGTAACCATTAAGTAGTGTACACAAATAGAAGGCACTCAATAAATATAAATTTAATGAGTAAATATTATGAAGCTTTATAATTGTGGAAATACTTTCAAATCATTATTATATCAAAGAGGAAACAAGATATAAGATTGTGCAGGTAGAGTGAATTTAACTGTTAATTTTAAAAGATCTGGATGCTTCCTTTATCTTTGTCTGCTTTTTCACGTGTATGGTAAGCGCATATTAGTATATTGATTCAATAATAAAATTCAGGTAAAAGTAGTTTGAAGAGTTAGTTAGAATACCTAATATGAAGCCTTACAGCAAAATTTCCAGGCTGCCCTTTCTGGCCCCAATGCAAAGCTCCTCTGAAACCTGAGGGAGAGTGTCCATTTCCCAATAGTTCTGCCTGTGGTCCTTGAGATGCTTGTGCTTGGGTTATGGCCCTACAACACCTTAGCCCTTAAAGAACATCCTTGCTTTTCAAGATATTTAAAGAGAACTTGTCCATCAGATTCACCCAATGGAATGCATCATTTGATCCCTTGACTGCTGCTTCCATGAGCATTGATTGTGGATCCAAGTAAGGTTGAATATTTGACAACTTCAACGTTTTCTCTGTTTATCATGATGTTATCTATAGGTCTAGTGAGGAAAAGGATATGTTTTACACTTTCTGGTGTAGGGTTGGACTTAGGTCTAATGGAAATGGACAGAAAAGAACTCACAGATAAGTAGAGAAAGATGTCATGTAAAGACAGGTGAAAATCAGAATGACGCAGCTATAACCTAAGGAGCATCCAGGGGTACTAGAGCAGCCAGCGGAAGCAAGAAGGGATTCGTCCCTGGAGCCTTCCAAAGCACCCTCACCCTGTCGGTGCCTCAGTTTTGCACTTCGGGCCTACAGAACAGTGGGAGAATGCATTTCTATAATTTAAGATACCAAGTTTTTGACCAAACTTTTTTTGATAAAATATTGTTTACCTCTTTTTGTCTTTGATAAAAATGTGGTTACTTCAATGGATGATAAATTTTAATTATATCTTTTCTTGGGATTTTACTTTCAGATTATCTTAGTCTTTTACTATAGTTGGTTGATACATGAATATATACACTTTCTGTTTTATTTTAATGAAGTTCATAAAAGCCACATGTTACTTTTAACATATCCAGTTTATTAATCTGTAATGAAGGTTGAAACGCTAATTTTTTGCATTTTAATATTTCTTCATCAATTATAAGGATGTATAATCATTATCTACAATGGGATTCCTATTTAGTATTTACTTTTTGACTTGAATAATATCCAAAGGGGGGGGCGGGGCTTCAAAATATGACAGGAAAAATCTATATCTTTTAATTCCATTTTTTCCATGAAATTATTGAAGCCTCATTTCTTATTACATTTAGTTGCTTAAACTGAAAGTTTAACAATATAGCGGGGGGAAGCACAGTGTCCTTTTCATAATCGTGTCCTGTACTAAAGGTATTATTGCAGATAAACCCCACCAGATTATAAATTGATATGAGACTTTGATTAGATTTTAATAAGATTTAAATCATTACAAGTTTCTTTACTATAGTGCAGTAGTTCTCAATCTTCCTAATGCCACGACTCTTTAATACAGTTCCTCATGTTGTGGTGACCCCCCCAACCGTAAAATTACTTTTGTTGCTACTTCATAACTGTAATTTTGCTACTGTTATGAATCGGGCAACCCCTGTGAAAGGGTGGTTTGACTCCCCAAAGGGGTCATGACCCACAGGTTGAGAACTATGAGTCAACATCAACTTGATGGCAGTGAATTTATAATTGTGGAAATAAATTATATCCATTAAATCTGAGGTTCAGTGTTTGCAGGATGCTTTCATGTGTGTTTGTACTGACATTCTTGTGTGGGAAGATGCTTCCATTTTTCTGTGGGTTAAGCTGGCACCCTCAGGAGACTCTAAACTCATGTCAATGATTATAGGTATCCTAGCCTAGCAAAATGTGATAGGAGGACTTTATGTTTAACATTTTCTCATTATGCTTTTAAAATGATTTTTAATGTGAGTGTTTTCTTGCTAATCGTTAATTATATTGTTCACCTCTTATTTTTAAACTTTATCCCCAGCATGATCATTTCATAAATGATAAATTTTCTTTCTGTTCAGTTTTCAAATTTGAATCTTTTTTTAATCATTAGGGCAGCTTTAAATGATGTAAAGCATTGTCTGATATGGTTCCCACTGGCTACTTGTGGCTGTTACAATGTAAATAAGCTAGAGTTCCATTTCCTCAGTCACACTGAGGGCATCCCTGCGAAAGGTGGTAGGTTCAGTTCCAGGCCACTGCAATTAAGTAAAGATCACAATAAAGCAACTCATGCAGGTTAGTTGGTTTCCCTGTGCATATGAAAGTTATGTTTACACTCTGCTGTGGCCTATTAAGTGTGTAACAGACCAACACAGTGCAGTGAATGAACCATCCTTTTGGCCCTTCGATCCACCGTCTGTCTTTGTAACTCCCACCAAACCACTGGGCGGACTGCTGATGCTGATGTCAAGAGACGATTAGAGGAGGTTAACCCGCTCTGCCATGCCATTTTTATAAAACATTATAAAAAAGTCTGAAATATCATGAGAATTACTCACATGTGACACTTGAAGTGAGCACATGCTGTAGTGAAAATGCACCCATAGACTCACTCTATGCAGGGTTACTACAGACCTTCAACTTGCAGAAAACATAATATCTGCTAATAAAGTGGGGCACAATAAAACAAGTTATACCTATAGTCACATTTTAAATGTCACACTGTGCCCCTCCTTTTTCTACTTCTTAACTGTTCCCCTACCAAATTCCCCATCACAGGAGCCCCTTGTGTTTGTCTGTATGGCTAGTACAGTGTTTGGCACAGAAAAGATAATAAAAGTTTGTTAAATGAATCAATGACCTTTTTTTTCAAACTCTCTTTTTTGAAAGGTCATACAGGCATATGTGTTTTATTTTTGTGATACTGTTGTAAATCGGTTTGAAAACTAATGTTTCAATATAAAAATATCTTAAACTGCCCACCTCACTTTTGTTGACCCTTCCTAATTCAAAAAGCACTAAGCATTTATTGTATATAAGATAATTGAAATATAATTTTGCAAGGAACTCACAGCCGTCCGGACAAGTAACACAAAACACTATGTTATTGTAGTTGCAGTATGAGGTCTTCTATAAGTATAAATGAAGCATAAGTGGACATTGGACATAAAGTGCACTTGCGCCATGACCATATTTTTAATTAAGATAAACAATTGACAAACATAATTTCTCTGCTCAGTTCTAACTCCCTTTACAGCACAGATTTATTTACCTGTGACTACATGTATAGATTTAGTATTTACTCATAGCAGGTAGTTTTCTTTGCTCTAAGACCTTAATCAAATTTGTTTTTAGCACTGTCACTTTCTCAGAGTCTCTAGCTATTCTGAAAATCAAATTGGAAGGCAGATAGCAGTACCAGTTGCCTTTGACTCAGTCCTGACTCACCTTGACCCTGTGTGTGTCAGAGTAACAATGTGTTCCATAGAGTTCTCAAAGCTGGGAGCATTGGGATCCAGGTCCCCAGACCTTTCTTGTGTGGTGCCTGTGGTGAGTTTGAACCTGCAACATTTTAATTAGTAGCCAAGCACTTAACACTTTGTACAACTGCTTTAAATTATTGTATACACAATTTGTTCTTTTTTTCTGATCAGTTAAAACCTTTGCTTTTAGGAGGATTTTCTATGGGAGGATGCATGGCAATGCACTTAGCATATAGAAAGCATCCAGATGTGGCGGGAGTGTTTGCTCTTTCTAGTTTTCTGAATAAAGCATCTGCTGTCTATCAGGTAAGCACCACAAAATAGAAGAGGAAAGTGTGAAACTAAAAACAAAATTCCTAATTAAGCAATAGCACTCGATGCACAAAGCATCCCTGAGGGTTCATGGGCAAATGAGTCATATTGATTAATTCCAGCTGGTCATTAATGCTGAGAAATGGTTTGTATGAAGAATATTGTTAAGGAAGTGTCAAAGGGGGAAGGAGGAATATCAAATATTACTTATCAAAAGTGAATGATTACAGTCCCTGCCTATTTTTCTCCTTGGCTATTGAAACTTTGGTCATTGGAATATATGTGCCCTTTTTCTGTGTTCCCAGAATGATTTTCTAAAAACTGGATTTTCTAACCTTTACTGTGTTTCTATTCTGTTTCCCAGGCGCTTCAGAAAGCGGATGGTGTGCTTCCTGAATTATTCCAGTGTCATGGGACGGCTGATGAGCTGGTCCTTCATTCTTGGGGGGAAGAGACAAACTGGGTGTTACGGTCTCTCGGAGTAAATTCGCAGTTTCATAGTTTCCCAGGTGTTTACCATGAGCTAAGCAAAACTGAGCTGGAGAAACTGAAGTCATGGATTCTCAACAAGCTACCAGGAGATATGGGAAAATAAAATGAATGACTCAAAAATGATTTGTTAATATCTTTGTAATGCTTTTCTGAAATGTGATCTTTACTGCCAAATTATAGTTTCAGAAATGATCATTAAATATTAAGATGAATCTGCAATAATGGCTTATGTATTAATTATTGAAAGGATGGGGCACAAGATAAAGCAGTATAATCTTATTTATGGTAAATATTAATTGAAACAAGCATCATTTTTCTAATTTGTGTAATTTTAGTTTTCATATATTTTAATTTGACAATTTTTCAAAAGTACTTAAACTTTAAGAAACAATATATTTAAGAATACTTTCTTTTTCATTCTTCCCTTTTGGCCTTCCAATTCTTTGCACATTTAGTTGTAACATTTGGTTTTGCCTTCTTGAGCTACCCTTTGAAATTTTCTACTCAGCTCTTTGGCAAGAATACTTTTTAAAATGTAGCCTTTTAAAGAAAAATGAAAAATAAGGAAACATGAAAGCCTAGTATTTTACCTTACCTACTACTTCCATTAAATTGTTATCTTTATTAGTACTGATCTGTTTCTGAGTACATGTTAATACTGGTGTGTTCATGTTTATGTAGTTTTAGGTAAAATATTACTAATTGGATATTGTACTATTCAGTTTGTAAAGTGGGTTTCCATTTAGTCATTCGACCATCACAGAAGCTTGATGAAATCTCCTGAGTAATTATAAGTCTTAGATAATAGGTATGGAATAGTTAAAGATATTTGAAAGCCTAAAGAGCTAAAACTAGACTCAAGGTCCTCTATTTTCAGCTCTCTTCTCTTTTTGTTAGCAATGAGGTAAAGAATTTAACTTTATTCAACCATTTGTTCTTTGGCCTTCACTCCTGAGAGAGAACTTCTAAGACATTGGGATTTTCCCAGTGATTAGAATGTCTTTGATGAGTCTTCCAGAAGATACCTGAGCATTTAGACTAATGATCTCCCTTTTGAGTAGGGCTTGTTGGTCAAAGAAAAAGAGAAAAAGAAGAACTCATTATAAGACCCCAACCTCAGGAGAAGGAGAACGAAGGTTGAGTAATCAGTCATACCTACATAAACTATGCCAAACCAAAACTTCTACCAGCAAGTCTATGAGGGGGGTAGCCCCCCAAAATCAGAAAGCTACACTAGGCAGAACTTTTGTAGAACACATTTTTTCCCATTAGGTTAACATCGAACAATTTGCTCTGAGTACGTGCACCCAGTAGCATCACCTGGGAAGATTCTTTCTGGTCACAGTGAATTTTTTCATGAAAGCAGTTCTGCTTGAACCTCGTTTTTTGTGAGGACTGATTTAAGAAAACAGTGAGTAACTGAAATTCTCTTTCCTGTTTGAGAAAAATGCCGCAGAAACTGTGATGTTGAACATAGAATGCAAAGACACCACTGTGGGAAAAACTCAAGAGTATGAGTTCTTTTCTCATTTCAAAAAAGGTGAACTGTTGATCGATGACAAGCATCATTCTTGATGTCTGTCAACTTCCTGAACGGACGAAAATGTCCACTTATAGTGCATTTGGAGTTTGTTCCAACAGGTGAGAGTGTTAATCCAGCTTTCTATTTAGATGTTTAGATGCTATTTAGATAGCGTAGCAGTGTGTGACCAAAAATAAAGGCTGATATGTGGCAGACAGGGGACTGAGTTTGCCACCAGGACAATGCACCCACTCACACAGTCATCTCAGTGCACTGGTTATGAGCAAAATCCAGCATTCCTCTTTTTCCCCACACGCCTGACTCACCTGACCTCATTCCATGTGACTTCTTTTTGTTTCTATGAATGAAGAGGGACATGGAAGGGCAGCGAGATAGAAGAGGTGAACAAAAAAATGAGGGAGAAGCTGCCAGATGAGTTTGAAAAATGTTTCCCAGGATGGAATTTCAGATTTGACAAATGTATTAAGTGTAATGGAGAGTACTTTGAAAGTGATAAGGTTGTTTTATACAAAAGTGATAAGGTTGTTTTACACAAAAATTTAAATACTTATCTTTGGGAAAAAATTCAGGTGTTCTTTTGGTACCCTCTTGCATGCAGAAATTGTTAAATTAGTCTATGTTTGGTTATGTAAATCTTCAGTCCCTGAAAAAGGACATCATGTTTGGTAAAGGGGAGGGGCAGCAAAAAGGAGGAAGGCCCTCAATGAGATGGGTTTACACAGTGCAACAAAGAGCTCAGGCATCGGAACAATTATAAGGGTGCGCAGGACCTTCTAAGTGTTTTACTGTGTGTGTAGGGTCGCTATGAGTTGGAACCAACTCAGTGGTCCCTGACAACAATAGTCAATGCCCAAAGGTCATGCCACTCCTCTGTAAGCTCAACTGAAGGGCGCTTGGCCCAGCTCCATGAGTCAGCAAACACAGATCCTCCAACTGACCAGAGGCACCCAACTCTATAAACTAGCATCCTACCCCAAAGCACTCAGCTTCGTTTCCTCTGTGGGTTTGGAAGTCCACTGCTCTGGATCCTGGTTCTGCTACTGCTGCTGCTCCTCCTCAGATGTAAAAGCTACTTCTGGTCCAAGGATGCTCACTACACAGTGCTCTTGGGAGTTCACAGAATGTGCTCCATTCCTGGCTCTTGCTGGTAGCAAGATTCCCCCTCCTGCTTCTGATGTGGCTTATTTTTATGCCCAGCAGGAAGGGTAAATTGCATATATATATATATAATTATATCATATATAATGTTTCTATGTGTATTTTATATTTATAATGCTTTTCAGTCTATTAAATCCAGGCTCGGTAGTTCCATAGACACAGCAATTGGTCCAATAGTTTCCTATAACAATGGGAGGGTAGTTTGGCAGGAAGAGGGGAGACAATGAGTACAAGAAAAAAATAATGTGCCAAAATTGATTGTGGTGATGAATGCATAACACTTTAAATATGATTAAGTATTGAATCGTATGATAATGTGAGAATAGTGAAAGTACAATGGACTCTCAAAAAAACCAGCGAATCTCTCTCGGAAGAAGTAATGCCAGAATGCTCCTTAGGGGCAAGGATGACGAGACTTGGTCTCATGTCCGTGGACATACTGTCAGGAGAGACTAGACCATGGAGAAAGACATCATGCTTGGTAGAAGGGCAGAATAAAGGAGGGATGCCCTCAACAAGATGGATTGACAGTAGCTACATCAATGAACTCAAGCATAAGAACAATTATGAGCCTGGCCCAACATTAGGCATTGTTTCATATTGTTACACATAGGGCCTCTGTGAGCAGGAAAGGACTGGATGGCACGTAGCAACAACAACAAAACAACTGGGGAAAATCCTGTTAACAAGCACAATTGAACCCTATCAGTTACTTCCTCGACTTTCTCCTACCCAGACCCATCCAGAAAAGGTCATTTGGTGGGAGTTACAGAGACGATGCCTAGACGAGCCATATTAATAGTAATACCCAACAGTTTTGTAAAGCAATAACTTCAGTCTTCAATACTCATTCTTATTATGGCCCGCAGTATTCACAGCAAACTTTAACCAAGAGTGGTGATGTGTAGTATAGCCTATGAAGAGCTGAATAAAATAAATATACATTATGCTTTTCTGGTAACATATAGTTTGTATATACACTGCAATTCTTAAGAAAATATGCAAGGTAGCATGCAAACGAGAGGCAAATATAGTACATTTTAAAATTAATTTTTCAAAAATAATTACAAAGTTCTGAGGAGGTTGTAAAGATAACAAAGAGAGGTTTGTGTACCCTTGACCCAGTCTCCCCCCAAAGTTACCTGTAAGCATAATGCAATATCAAAACTAGAAAACAAATTGGTACAATGTGTGTGGATAATTTTATGCCACTTTATCACATGGACACAGACCCATCCCATCAACACAAAGATCTCCTTCATGCTTTCCATATTTGGTCATAGCCACACCTTCTTCCCCATAATCTAATGCCTAGTAACCACTAATGTGATACTTCAAAGCTGTTCCAGAAATATAATAATAATATAATATATGAACTTTCCACTATGGCTTTCTTTGCTCCTTCTAAATTGTAGCATCCACTAATGGTCCATTCCTTTGATTTGTTGTGTTCCAGGATATAAATGCATCAGTCTACTTAAACATTCAATTACTGAAGGACATTTTGGTTGCCTAAGTTTTATTTTTTCATTGGTACTTTTTTTCTTTTGTTTATTTTCATATGTTTTTCATTATATGAATCTAGGAGAGGTAAATATTTAGACATGAACTGGATTAATAGTTTCAGCTTTGGCAGGGGTCGTTAGGGGGAAATGGGGTGCTAATCAAGGAAAAATATGTTCTAAAATTGGTTGCAGTGATGATTACACAATTTTTAAAAATATGTCTTAAATGATTGAATTGTGTATTATGTGAAGTATATGCCACTAAAATCGTTACTCGTTTAAAAATGCAGAAGTGTCAAACTTTTCCAGAATGACCACTTTTCATATTCCCACCAGCATGATATGAGAAGTTCTGATTTTGTTAATCTTTGCCCGTCTTTTGTATTTTCACTATGTTTTCTTGAAGTGTTATAATAAATGTGTAAAGAGCCTTGGCGTCACTGTCAGGTAAGCATTGGAATGCTAAATGCAAGGTCAATGGTTCAAACCCACCATTCTCTCCTTGGGAGAAAGATGAGGCTTTCCCTTCCCATAAGATTTACGATGTCTGAAACCTGAAGAAGTATCCGTTGTTTTTTCATTCGGGTTAATGGAGTGTAATGATGTCCCACTGTATTTATAATATGCATTTTCATAATAGAGTGACTAATAGACTGCCAAAAGATCCAACAAATCAGTCTTGGAAGAAAAGTATTGCCAGAATTTTCCTTAGAGGCAAGGATGGCAAGACTTCATCTTCCATGCTTTGGACATGTTGTTAGAAATTGGTCTCTGGAGAAGGACACATGCTTGGTAAAGTCGAGAAGCAGCAAAAAATGTGAAGACCCTCAAGAAGATAGATTGACACAATGGCTACAACAATAGACTAAAGTGTTGGGAACAATTGTGAGGATGACGTAGGGCCAGGCAGAGTTTTGCTCTGGTGTGCATAGGGGTCGCTATGGGTTGAAACTGACTCAATGGCACCTAGCAATAACAACAATGACTAGTGATGTTAAATGTTCTCATATGCT